GTCGTCGTCGGCGGCGTCGTCGTCGTCGTCGTCGTCGTCGTCGTCGTTGTCGTCGTCCGTCGCCGCCGTCGCTGCCGTCGCTGCCTTCGGCGGCGCCAGTCGGCCGGCGGGCTGCCAGGGGCACGCGTGGGCCGGAACGCCGCTGCTTTGGCTGCTGTGCGGCGTGCTGGCGGGACTACCCCGCTGCGCGACGGCCACCCGCCCAGCGGCGGCGGCGGCGGCCGCCGCCATTCAGGCGCCGCCGACGAAAGGCGATGGCGGGCGCCGCCGACGAGCGGCGGCGGCGAGCAGCAGCGAGTTGCGGCAGCGGGCGCCTCCGACGAACGTCGGCGGCGTACGTCGGCGGCGAGCGGCGGCGGCGGCGAGCGGCGAGCGGCGGCGGCGAACGTCGGCGAACGGCGGCGGCGGCGAATGGGGGCGCGGGGGGATGTTGGCAAAGGTCGGCGGCGGCGGCGGCGGCGGCGTGGCCGGGGGGGCAGGGGGAGGAAGACAGGGAGGAGATGGAGATGGGGATGGAAAGGCTTGATGAGGGGTGGGTGGGTGGGTGGGAGGGGGGGGAGAATATCACTGCGACACCATGAGATAGGAAAGGTGCTTTTTCGCTAGCCTCGCTCGACGATGGGACCGCTCAGAGGTGCTGGAGCGCCCGTGCACACGCCTGAGCCTCGAGCATGAGAGCCTGAGGGGGGGGGAGGGCGGTGGGGAGGTGGGATGGGGGGGACTGGGGAAGAGGGGAGGGAGGGGGGAGGGCGGAGGCGCAGGAACACAATCTTGAACGTTGCCTCTGCGTTCCCTGGATCGGTCTGGTCGCACTGCATCGGCGTGTCCATCAGGTGCCCCCCATGATGGGCTGTACGCGCGGGCCAGCGGGAATGTGGGCGACGCGGCCACGGCAGCAGCGGCTGACAAACGCAGTTGCTACGGCAGCGCGGTCCTCCCCGTCGGGGTCAAAGCGCACGACCGCATGGGTGCCGACAGCATCCAGTCCCGGGAAACGCTTGGCATCCCATGCCTGCTCCTGCGTCCGTGCGGAGATGCGGTCGGCAGCTGAGAGCTCGGATTTAGTTGAGGCGTACATTGAAGATTCGGTGTTTACTCCAGATTTCGTAATAAAAGGGAGGGGGTTTGGACCCTCCAAGAGAAGCCATTTCAGACCTCCCCCGTGGGAGAACCCTCCAAAACATCGTCCCCAGACCCCCCCAGGCCCTCCAAGATAGCTTGGAAAAGACCCCCCCCGAAATGAGACCCCCCTCCCTTTATTCTTTACGCTTCGCGTATCCCCACCAGCCCATCTCACAGCAGCAACTCTCGCGAAGCATGCCGACAGTCGTGTTTTTCAGGCGTGTGTCCGCTTGGCCCCGCATATCTCCCCTGTTCCTCCTTCCTCCCGCCTCCTTGTACATCCTCCTTGTGGGGGGAGCGGGAGAAGGACGAGGCGAAGGAGGAGGGAGAGAAAGCGCTCCTCGTGATTTGAGTCGTTTGGGGTTTCTCGTCCTGGTCTGAGTCGTTCGGGCCCTTCTTCCTGGTGTGAGTCGTTCGGGCTCTTCGTGGTGTGAGTCGTTCGGGCTCTTCGTCCTGGTGTGAGTCGTTCGGGCTTCTCGTGGTGTGAGTTGTTCGGGCCCCTCGTCCTGGTGTGAGTCGTTCGGGCCCCTCCTCCTGGTGTGACTCGTTCGGGCTCCTCGTGGTGTGAGTCGTTCGGGGCCTTCGTCGTGGTGTGAGTCGTTTGGGCTCCTCGTGGTGTGAGTCGTTCGGGCGCCTCGTCCTGGTGTGAGTCGTTCGGGCCCCTCCTGGTGTGAGTCGTTCGGGCTCTTCGTGGTGTGAGTCGTTCGGGCCCCTCGTCCTGGTGTGAGTCGTTCGGGCTCCTCGTGGGGCCTCTTGGGGGCCTCTTGGGGCCTCTTGGGGCCTCTTGGGTGCCTCTTGGGGGCCTCTTGGGGGCCTCTTGGGGCCGCTTGGGGGCCTCTGGGGGGTCTTTTGGAGGCCTCTTGGGGACATCTTGGGGCCTCTTGCGACCTCCTCAGAAGCGCAAAGAAGAGCTGCCCCCTGAGAAGGACAAACATGAAGCCAAAACCTTCGTAAAATCAATGATTTTGCTATGAAGGACGATGAGCGCTGCCCCCTCAGAAGTCCAAAATGGGGCCAAAACCCTAGTAAAATCAATGTTTTTGGCTTCACAGAAGAGGAGAGGGACTTATCTCCGCCCCCCCGTCGGGGCCAGAATCCTCGTGAGGGTCGTCGTTTTTTAGCCCTCCCAGGAGTCGAAATTGACCCCCCTGACGACCCGCGGGACCCCCTCTCCAGGCCCAGGGGGAGGGGGTAGGGGAGGGGTAAACCCCTCCCCGAAGGGGAAGAAGGGGGGTTGAGGACAGAGAGAGCTCGCTAAACCACTCACGCCCAAAGGGCTGGTGGGATTACGAAATCTGGAGTGACTGTTAAACCTCAGGTCTCCGCCACGACCCCTCGCCGCCACGATTCATTCGTGCATTGAGGGCTTCGGCGGCCAACTTGATTGGCGAGAACAAACTGTTGGAGACACCGGTGAGCTCTGGGGCCTGGCAGTGGCCGAATACGATGAGAAAGTTGCAGCGATCTCCTTTTGGCGTATTTCGTGCATGCAAGGAGGGTGGACGACCCATTGCCGTCCTGGCCGGAAATGAGCCCCAGTGGTTGTGGACGATGCTGCCGATTGAACCGGCGGTGTGCCAGATTCTGCCGCTGTGGCGTCACCTGGCGAGGCAGGCGCCGAGGCTGTTGATGGCTCAGCCAGTGGCGTCGCCCCAGGTGCTGCCTTGATGCGGGCAATATTTATGTCCATATCCAGGGCGTCTTGGACTTTCGCGGAAGGGGCGCCGCAAGGCCGAGGCGCACTGGATATGGATAAAATTCGAGCCTCTAGTAGGGGCCTGCTTTTTATCCATATCCAGTGCTCCTCGGCTTTCGGGGGAAGGAAGCCCGAAACCCCAAGCTGCAGTGGATATGGACACAAGTCTTGCCCGCACTTGAGTCCCATCAGTGCACCCGGTGCCGCTGCTGACGTCAGCTGCAATGCTCTTGGCGCAGGCACCGCGATGGATACTGACCCTGCCCCTGGTGCGACTGCGGGTTCAACCAGGGGTCCTGCGCCTCTACGCAGGCTTCTGCCCCCCCCCCCCCCCCCCAACTGCACAACTTGCTTGTCGCCCTGATGACCCAGCCGCACCGAAGAGACAGGCTCCCGGCCGCACTGGCGTTTCGCCGCCGCCGAGGGTCAGGTGTACGGGCGAACTCCGAGTAGGCAATGAGGTGTTCCTGGTGGAGGCCCCGTCGGTTGCCTCCGCGTCAGTGGCATCCTCTATTTAGCGCCGTGTAAGAGAAGAGGTGCAGAGGGAATGCGACCAAGATGACGCTGGAGACTGGGACCCGACCCGACATTAGTATGCGGGCCAGGGCTGCCATGCCTACCATGAGTGCAAGCAGAGGTGGCAATGGTCGAACCATCGGTATTGAATCAACAGGTTCAGACCCAATGATCTTGATTGGAAAACCCGCATAGGCACAGGGGATGGACAGTTATGTCATTATCAGTTTGGACATCGGATGCAGAAAACTAATAACTTCTTTGGCTGCGGATCAGGAGAGAATGCTCGTCTAGGCTAAGCCGTGCACTGTCTCGGACTTCATCACGAATTGAGCCGTGAACTTAAGCGTGTTCTTGACCATGAGCGGAGTATGTGGCCAAGAAAGCCCCAGCGACTACATGTTCTTAGAGATCACGGCGGCATCCCCGACGAAGAATTTGACCATGAGCTGGCGCGCTGTTCTATTTGTGGGATACGTCAGTCTGTCTCGGCTTGCTTCAAGAGCTCCGCCAGGAGTAGCTGCCATCCCGTCTCGTGTGCCGTAAAATCTTATTGCGGTTGGCACCTTGGGGGCCAATGTGTTTGGGGATGGCGCGAAATCTGGCAATTCCGACGTGAGCTGGAGCCAGAACTAGGCATCCTGCTGCGGGGGGAGTTAATCAGGTTCTTTCCTCGCCTTCTTCGCCGCCGCCGCCGTCGGACTACGCCTCATGGGTGTTTGACCGCTCGAAGACGTAACGGTTACAGTTATGTGGGAAAAGGGGTGCGCCCTCGGCCGGCAGGTTCTTTTCGATATATATGTATATATACACATTTGTATATGATGTGTTTAGCTTTAGATTTGTGTCTAACGATTTTATATTCTAGCCATGCTGATCTTCCGATCTAGATTATTGAGGAGATAGAGCAGTGCGTCTATTTATGATTATGTCAGAATCTTCGAACCCTTTTGCAAATGAGTTCTTTGGCCGCGCGCAGGGAACGCCCGGTGGCCTGTGGCGATCGCGAGACGCACGCTGGCGTTTGCGCGGCACCTGGGGGGGAACTTTGCAGTTTTCAGCGTCTTTCTGTTGCGGCGCCTGTCGATTGCGATCCTGGCCCCTTCTCGGTTGTCCTCTTCCCCCCCGCTGCTCGTTCTCCTCGTCCTGGCCAGGGGCCGCAGCTGAGCTGGTCGACGAACTGCCCAACTCTTTGTCTGGAGTGGTGTGGCGCGGTGCGGCCGACCAGCGTTTCTCAGGAGAAGCAAGTGTGGCGCGGAGGGGAGGAGGGAAAAGAAAGTAGGGAGGGAAGGGGGCCGCGGGGAGGGAGAGAGGCGGAACGGAAGGCGACGGAAGGAGCGAAAAACGGGAACAGGAGGGCCAGAAAAGGGAACTGGGAAGAGTGGGAGCGGTCGTCGCCGCCGCCGCCGCCGCCCTCGCCGCCGCCTCCGTCCCCGTGGCCGCCGCCGCCGCCCGCCAGCTGCCGCGGGCGGCGACTGCGCTGGCGAGCGGCGGGGACGACGGCGACGACTCGGACGGCGCGCGCGACGGCGCGCCGCCGCCGCGCGCCGCCGCGCGCGGCCGCGCGCGGCAGCGCGCAGCGAGGGCCACGGCGCCGCGCCGCCGCGGCGAGAGGCGCCGTCCGCCGCCCGCCCTTCCGGCGGGCGCACCCGTGCGGCCCCGCCAGGCCCTGCCGCCGCGGGGCGCCCGCCGGCGCGGGCGGCGGGCGGAGACGCCGCCGCCGCGGCGGCGGCGAAGGGTTCGGCGGCGCTGTCGGCGAAGGCGGCCACGACGCCGCCGCCGGCCGTCGTCGTTCGTGGTCGGTCGTCGTCCGTCGTCCGTCGGTCGTCGGGCGTCCGCCGCCCCTCGTTCATCCGCGTCGTCGTCGGGCGTCGGGCGTCGGGCGACGCTGTCGTCGAGGTCAAGTTCTCCTTGGCCGCCGTGTTGCCTTTGTCGTCGTGTTCAGGTCTCCTTGGCCGTCGTCTTGCCGTCGTCGTCGTCGTCGCCGCTGTCGTCGTCGTCAGGGGAAGGATCAGGGCAGGGGACAAACAAAAAGGGGGATGGTTTTCTTCAAGTCGGCCGGCCTACAGGAGTCCTAATTCAATTCATACAGGACTGGTCCACAGTTCCCCCTATCTTGCTGCAGACGATTGCAATGGCTTCCTCTGCTATTGCAATGGCTTCCTCTCTGCTAGTGCAATGGCTTCCTATGCTCTTGTAATGTCTTCCTATGCTATTGCAGTAGCTCCTGTGGCTATGAATCGAGTAAGATACAGTACGGTAGAGTACAGTAGAGCAGAGTCCAGTAGAGAAGAGTATAAGAGTATAGTTGAGCATCGTAGAGAAGAGTAGAGTAGAATTAGGTAGTGACGAGTAGAGTCGAGTAGAGACGCATCGAGTGAATTATAGTATAGTGTAGTCCAGTATAGTATAATCCAGTATAGTATAGTCTAATCTAGTCTAGTATAGTATAGTATATTACAATCGAGTAGGAGTAAAGCACAGTAGAGTTTCATAGAGTGGGTTAGGGTAGGTATGGTAGGGTAGTGTAGGGTAGAGTAGTGAAGGGTAGTGTAGATCAGAGTCCAGTTGAGCATATTAGATGGTTGAGGATCATCGGGCAGGGCAGGGCGGGGCAGGGCAGAGTAGAGTAGAGGAGAGAAGAGTAGAGTAGGGCATATGAGGTGAGTAGAGTAGAGTAGAGTAGAGTAGGGGTAGAGTAGGGGTAGAGTAGAGTAGAGTAGAGTAGGCTAGAGCAGAGTATAGTAGAGCAGAGCTAGGATAGGGTGGGGCAGAGTAGGGTAGAGTACAGCAGAGTTGGGTGTAATCGGTTATATTTGAGAGTAGAGCCGGGTAAAGTGGAGTAGAGTCGACCATATTATATTTGGGTAGAGTAGAGTCGAGTAGGGTAGAGTAGACTCGGGTAGAGCGGAGTAGAATGGAATAGAGTCCACCCCGGTCCAGTGCAGTCTACGCCAGCTCAGTCTTCTTCAGTTCACTCCAGTCAACTTTGTTTCAGTTCTTTGATCTCTCTGGAGCCTGCGCTGGCCGATATTTTAGGGCTCTATGCCCCATCGCCTCCAAAGGCGAACCACAGCTAGGCTGGCTACAGGCTACTATTGCGGAGGGAGAAGCAACAGCCTGATGTGCGTAGCTATCTAGGGGGGTAGACGCGATGAAGGAGTTGAGACCCTGCATAAGAAAGGAGGAGGAGGGGGAGGAGGAGGGAGAGGAGGAGAAGAATGATGAGGAGGAGGATAATGAGGAGGAACATGAGGAGGAGGAGGAGGAGGAGGAGGAGGAGGAGGAGGAGGAGGAGGAGGAGAAGGACGAGGAGGAGGAGGAGGAGGAGGAGAGGAGGAGGAGGAGGACGAGGAGGATGATGATGATGAGGGGGGGAGTAAGCTTCGGTTCGTTCCTCCGTTTCTCCACGTCCTCTCGCCGTCCGTAACCCCCCCTCTCTCGCCCTCGTTCCCCCCCTCCCCCTCCCAATCTCACTCTTCCTCGTCCTCCCTGACTCCGCCCGCTCGTCCTCCTTTCCGCCCCGTAGAGTGAACGCCATGGAAATATAGCCCTCAAGCCCTCGGAAAGCAACCGACACCAGTTGAACGCCCTTCGAACTTTTCCTCCTCCTCCTCCTCCTCCTTCGCCTCCTCCTCCTCCTCCTCCTCCTCGGAAGATGGTTGAAATGAGGGAGGACAAAGAGGATGGTGATGAGGATGGAGACGACGAGGATGATGATAGACGATGCTGACAAAGATGATGTTGGTGATGATTTGAGGCGATGTTGATGGTGGTGGTCATGATTTCGATGAGAACCAGGATGACTACGAGGAGGACGAGCAGGATGAGGCGGACGAGGATGATGGCGGTGGGAGGAGGATGACGAGGATCCTCTTCCCCTCCCTCCTTCCCCCTCCTCTTCCTTCTCCGACGACGGTAGGACGACATGGCGGAAACAACGGCAGCGGCGACGACGAAGAAGGCTACGACGGCGGCGACGTCGACGATGGCCACAACGACGGCGACAACGGCGACGTCGACTCCACCCAAAACCCGCTCAAAACCGATCCCAGGACCGCTCCAGGAGTCTACCCCTGACCACTTTTCCACCCTGTT